TAAACATATCCACTTTCTAATCTTTTTCTTTTTCAAATAAAATAATTAAATTTTAACCACAGAAGCCTTCATGTTGTATAACTAGTTATTAGCAAAACCGTGCCCATTAATTCTTACCCTGAAGGTGGCAATTCTAATCTTTGCAGAACAAGATAGTCATAGCTTGAAGTAAAACTTCAGCATCACAAAAGTGCAGCAGGATTAAAGAGCAGCAGAATCTCCTAACATATGCTTTGTAGAGGAAGTGATACCATGGAATGCGGTGGCCAGAGGATTTTGTGGTATCACTTCCTAAAGTATATTAAGAACTGTGTTAATTTGCCCAGAAAGGAACTCTGCCATCGTTACCCAGGAAAATGGCAATAAACATACACAAAAAAGGCCTTCCTAGGTAATTAAAAGTTCAGAGATGTAAACATAATTAAAAAAAGAAGAGAAGAAATGTTGCACTTAGTTCCCTGAGTTATATTAGGAATTAAAAAACAAAACAAATGCAATAACTTATCCCAGCAGTTCAAATGTTCTAATTTATGTAGAATGGATTATTACTTAGACAATCTGACCCTGGGCAAAACTTCCTCAGCTGAGAAGATTTACAATCTAATTATACAGGAAGTTCTGCTGAGACAGTTTGGGTGCAATGGTCTTCTATTACATTAGCTTAGCTAAAATAGCTGCTTCTTTGCTTGCTTGGTGTTCCAAACACTCATACGAAAACAAAAAGTCTTTTGTTCACATCCTTTATTTCCCTTCAGTCTTTCTCCCCAATACTGTAAGCAAAAGCTACAAACAGCAACCTTGGGCTTAGATTGTTCATGGGGGGAACTGTGAGTTGCCTTTCAGGCTTTTGCTGTGACCAATGTTTGGTGAACTGACTTTAAAAGGACCATCAAAGCATTTTTCATAATTTTTACAATGATAGGTTTGTTTGTTTTTCTCCCTGCTTGTAAATAACCTTGTGGAAAGCCTGAAGCTGAAATATGTGTGCATACACAACATTCATATTCCTCTTCATACCCACACACTGGTTTATTATTGTAGGGTGTCTCATAACAGTTGTGCTACTGAATATTTTTAAATAATGCACTTGTTTAGTTTAAAAAAATAAATCCCTACACATTAAAACATGTGAACTTTCCAAGCAGGGAAAAAATGGAGGCCAAACTTAGGCCTACAAAGCATTGTGAAGTGTCTCTTTAACTAGATATAGAATGTAGTGTTGATATAGTTGAGTAGCTACGAGAGTCTTATATTTGCATAGCTGGAGAAATCAGTGCCTCCTTTCTTTACAGTGAGTGTTTTGATTTCAAAAGGTCAGGGGTTCATGCCATGGCCTTTCAGGCTTGATAATTATGTATGCGTAGTAATGCACATTTTTATCTACAGGTGGCAGACCTTTTAAAATCATCTTCAATGAAATTCATTATACATTTTTGTTGATACCACCACCACATTAAAAAGTAAAAATCTGCAGCACAAAGTTCTAATTAATGTTGTTCAATTTAGATGACAGATTTGTCAACAAAGTGGCTCATTCTCAAAGGCTGGTGACCGCTGTTTAAATGAAGGACTTAAAAAAAAAAAAAACCTAGTCACCCATTATAGAGTGACCTTTTATTATTCAGAAATTATTCAACAACTTATAGAAGAATTTATTTTTTCTATAAAGAACAAATTTTGCTGCCTAGATTAATGGTCACTAGTTGGTAAAACAGTGATTTCTTGTTTGATAAGATCACTAAGAAGAGGAAGCAATACAAAAAAGGTCACAACTCATTATCTAAAGTTTCAGAGTAGCAGCCGTGTTAGACTGTATCCGCAAAAAGAAGAACAGGAGGACTTGTGGCACCTTAGAGACTAACAAATTTATTAGAGCATAAGCTTTCGTGGACTACAGCCCACTTCTTCGGATGCATCCTATATATATGCATCCCATGCTATATGCATCCGAAGAAGTGGGCTGTAGTCCACGAAAGCTTATGCTCTAATAAATTTGTTAGTCTCTAAGGTGCCACAAGTCCTCCTGTTCTTCTTTTTAACTCATTATCTGCAATTAAAAGAGAAAAGTGAGTCACAAAGCTTTTGTAAATAAATTCAACCATTTAAGACACCATTGGCCAGATCATCATCTGGTATCAAATGGCAAAGCTCCATTGACTTCAATGGAATAATGTTGATTTACACCACATGAAGAGCTGTCCAGAATGTGGGCTCAATCCTAGAATCTTCCATTCACTGATTTCTATAGAATTTGTCCAAGACAATGACTGAAGACTAGGCCCCACTTCCCCCATGTGGACTAAAAGCACAAACACACACATCCACATTCTAAAGGCATGTGTGTCAACATCAAAGCTATACATTTAAAAAATTCTTTATCTGTGTTCCCAGTAACACCTTCAGTCACGGACATGGAGAGACATTTCATCAGCTAATTTACTTTACACCATTTATGTTATTGTTTATGTATTCCCCCAATTCACTCAACTAGTCTGTTTAGCCAGTTTCTCTCTCTTTAATACACCAACCAAATGCTGCAGTTTGAGTTACAAACACTGCAGGGGAACATTCTAAACATGCCCCCAGATCTGCATGTCAGATCCTCAACTCATTTCAGTCAATGGAGCTATGCCGATTTCACCAGCTGAGGATCTAGACCAAAATCCTCAGTTACAGTGGGCCTGATTCTTCTCTGCCTTGCATCTTGTGTGCTCATTTATACCTGAGAAAAAACACATGAAAAGCCAGTACAAAATATGCCTACCATTGTGGGTCAGTAAAGAAATCTGATTTGGTAGCATTTCACACTTATCTTGCAAAGGCGTAAATGACATTACAAGGTGCAAAGCAGAAGGGAAACAGGTCAAGTTACTTGGAGCCCAATCCTTAGAGGAATTCAGTACTCTATGAGGTATACAGCATTTTTAACTCATCCTCAAGTCAAAGGGAGATGAAGACACTCATCCATCTCTAAAAGGTGCTCAGCACTTCTTAGGATCAGGCTGTGAGGCCACAATCCCGCACACACTTTCCATTCAAGGTAGTAAAGTTAACGATAACTTAAGTTCTTAACACGTTAATTTTGGGAACACCTGTACTAGCGTAACTTGCCAGGCTAACACCACAGAAACTGAATTGCACGGACCAAAAATAATTGTTTTTTTCCTCAATTTCTAATTATTTGTCAATATTGAGGCTTTAATAAAACCCTCATGACCTTTTAAACTAAAACATACATTTACAAATCAGTTCTTACTAAAATTACCAGACATGCCCAGAATTTCCTAGCAGTACTGTACTAGGAAAAACCTATGTTAATGAAAACTTTACAAAGTTTAACACAAAATCTTTTAAAATGATCTTTCTATTTTATTTTATAAATTGAAACAAAATAAGTAAAATTACAAAGCTGTTCAACACGCCAAATAAATAACAGAGCAGGTGGATAGACTTAAAATAATTGTATTTTAGAAATGTTTCCCAATATATTGCTCTATCTACTTGCTGAGACCTGAGATTTTAAATATTCTCTTTCCCCTCCGCCCCACCCCACTATAAAAGCAATGACAACTGGATCATGAGATCCTAAAGCAGTGTAGGGAGTTCTGGAAAATGCTCTGCATTGAAGCTCTAATTCAGCAAAGCACATCAGCACATGCATAACTTTAAGGATGTGAGCAAACCCACTGACTGAAGTGACAACTGGGCTGGGTCAGGGGATTGGGGTCCGGGAGGGGGTGCAGCTCCAGCTCGGGGGATGGGGCCAGGGCTGGGACAGGGGGTTGGGGTGCAGGTGCGAGTGCGGGGTCTGCGAAGGAGTTTGGGTGCAGGAGGGGATTCGGGGTGCAGGCTCCGGCTGGGAGGTGCTTACCATGGGCAGTTCCTGGTTAGTGGTGCAGCAGGGCTAAGGCAGGATCCCTGCCTGCCCTGGCTCCGCGCTGCTCTGCTCCCTGAGGCGGCCGGCATGTCCAGCCTCTAGGCAGAGGGGCCAGGCTGCTCTGCGCGGTGCACGCTGCCCGTGCCCGCGGGTGCCACACCCACAGCTCCCATTGGCCATTGGACACAGCCAATGGGAGCTTCAGAGCCAGCCCTGGTGGCAGGTGCAATGCACAGAGATTTCCTAAATGCCTCTCGCCTAGAGGCCGCAGGGGCACATCAGCGAGCCGGCTCTCATGGCTTCAGCCCTGGGGCGGGTGGGGCGCTGAGGCTCAGGAACCAGCGTCTGGCCTACGGCCTGTAGACTTGCCATGGATCGGATTAAAAGAAGCAGCGGGTTGCATCCGGCCTGGGGGTCTGCAGGCCTCCCCTTAGCCCAAGGTCCTGGGTTGCAGCCCCTAAAGCCCCTACATTAATCTGGCCCTGCCTCTCCCATACTATAAATGCTTTGCTGAATCAGGGTCATATATGGGTAAAACAGATTCCTGAAAATCAGTTTTCAGCTATCTTAGCACACCTGATCCTGCAGAATTGATAATAACTGTTTCAAATTCAACAAATGCAATGGTAGTCCACTACCCATGCTAGTAAGTGTTGGTAGGAGAGGCCATAAATTTAATGGAAAGGATAAGAACATAAGAATGGCCGTACCGGGTCAGACCAAAGGTCCATCTAACCCACTCACACCGAAACATGGTCAGTTCAAGGGAAAGCTGAGGCACATTGCCCAGGCAGCACAAAAAAGCCTGGACTACAGCTGCCGTGTTTTATAGTTAGGATAAATAATGAAGGCCGTAGCCTCTAGGACTACCAGTTGAACACTCTTCACCGGCACTTTTAAGTTATTTTGAAAAGTTTGTCCCAAGAGAGAATTCTAGAATGAATATCAAAACCCTAATTAATAAAATATGTACTGTACATATATCTAAGTGAGAAAAAATGTCTGTACTGATTTGTATTGTGGCAACCTTATAACTGACTCTATTTCCTCCATGTTTTCCCTCGCATCACACACTTCCATATTGCTAACCCTCCCGAGTAATTGCATTTTCTTTATATGGTTTTGTTTTCCTACCCAATGCTGAGGAGCTGGGGTTATTTTCAACCTTTGGAATCTTGTAAACAGGATCAAGCAGGAACACGGTCATCAGCAAGAGGAAGGCTAGAAAATAAAACCAAATGCATATCAACAGTAAGATTTAAAAAGGAAAATGCACCCAAAACATAAAATAAAAGCTTGGGTTCCTCTAACACCACGCTCTTCCTTTCTGTTTGGCTCAAGAACTCTTTCTTGCAAAACAGAGACTGGTGTAAATTGATGTGACACCCAAAATATTTCACGTGTAAAAGCTGAGAGAGAGAGAGAGTTAGACACTATTAGAACTAAAGAGACTCCCTCTTATCATCATAACCAATACAGCTCTAATTTTGTCCTGTTTCTCTTGACCCTTTGAACAGCTAACCCAAGCTCAGTGGTTCCATTTTTATGCCTGTAACATTCGTATATGAGTAGACTGTTCAGGATGGTCCAGGGGTGAGAGTAAAAGACTGACAGTCAAGAAGTCCTCTGTTCTGTTTCAAGCTCCACCACTCACTGATGTCCTGTATCTATGTAACCATAAGCAATTCAATTAACTTCTCTGTGCCCCAGTTTGTCTGTCTGTAAAATGGGGACACTAAATTTCCACCTCATTAGTTTATAGTGGAAAAGAGATTGGATAATATAAAGAGTTCAATATTATTTTCTAACTTGGCTTCATGTTTTGCATCAGGTTTTGTGGTTTAGAAAAGTGCTAGGAGAGGTTAACAATCATACTGATGGAGAAAAATCAATGGGGATATTAAATTGAAAAAATAAACCCTGCTAGGATCTGAAAAACCTTTAAAATGCAAGGCAGACACTTTCTCCACTAAATTAACATTGTGGGATTATTTTGGCAACTGTATGGTTCCCATAATACTCCATGAATATAGCAGACACATAGTAAAGATGGAACATAAATATAAAGGGTATAAAGTTCAAAAAATGGGAGCTATCCATAGTTCATACCAAGATATGCATGTACACACAAGTTCTTGAAAAAATCAACCTTGATTTTCTGTAATATTCAGCAATGTAAGCAAAACAGGAATAAACTCCCTATACTTTGTTTGTAAATTTCACCAGAAAAAGGGACTCCTATTAAGATGATTATCTGTGTGGATTTTCCAAATGAAAATATGATCCATACTGAAAGGAGAAATAAACAAACAGAAACAAATAAATGACGATACCCTCAGTAGATGGAGAGCAGTATAGGTTCATTGAAATCAAGCTCTGCTTCCTATGGTGAAGACAATCTCTCATCAAGTTCAGGGTTGTATACTAATTAATTGTAATAGATCTTAAAGAATTTAGAAAACAAATTGCTTAGCTCACGTAGTGGACTGTTAGTCACATTCAGTAATACTAGCCAAGCTGCAGATTTTTTTTTTCGTGTATAACCCATATGAAACATCCACCAGCTAGCCAGTCCAGCCCAGAGTTTGTCACATTATCTTCCTTTATCCTCAATGGACCTTAACTTCTCTGAGCCGAATCCCCAATGTTTTCCTGCTACAACAGGAATGTAACAAGAGCTGAGAATGGGTTGCAGACGGGATCAGACCCTTGCATTCATTCTAACATAGAGTCACATGCTCCAAGTGGTGGAAACTGAAGTCAACAGACCTATGCCACTATATACCAGCTGAGGATCTGGCCTGTAATACCATTGCACGGTAATCAAATACACCAACAGATTTACCTAATGTTTCCTAAAACCCAAAGCAAAGGTACACTATTATCTCCTGCCCATTCCTTAAAAACAGAATTAAAAGGAATAAGATATTCATTTAATTCATCAATTAATTTCTATCATAAACTGCCAATCATCATAATAGCAAGGTTAATCAGGACTTTTCTTCATAAGAAAGTTGCAAAAGTTTAATCTTGGGTGTAATTTTAAACACCTCAGTTAATGCAAAAGGCCATGGGTATGCTCTTATTTCATTTTAAAGCAGGCTTATTTCACAAGTCAATTAGGAACCAGTTTAGCTAAACCAAAAATCCCACTTCCAAACCAAATTAAGCGTGTCCACAAAAGGGTCTGAATCATTGTAGCTATATAAATTTAAAAACCAATTAAGTTAAACAAGTGCAACTTGTGTGTAGTCAAGGCCCCAGTCATTCTGCTGACACACTTCAGAATGCACTCTAACCCTGAAGGTCTGAGGCAAGACTGATAGCTCTGCTCAACATGAAGGCCTGTTGAAGCCAGTGGGACTATTTGAAGGACAAGGTTTTACCAAGGCTAAGTAAGGGCATTACAGTTTGACCATTAGAAGAGCATTCCAGAAGGGTGTGGATTGTCTGTAACTTGAAGTCTTTACATCATGATTTGAGGACTTTAGTAACAAGCAAGAGGTTCTGGATCTATTATGGGAGTGGGTGGGTGAGGTTTGTGGCCTGCAATGTGCAGGTGGTTAGATTAGATGATCACGATGGTCCCTTCTGGCTTTTATTCTTGCCTCAGGATACAAGAAAGACTGTGGCAAGTAGGTCCAAATTACCCAGTTAGACTGGAGGCCACCCATGAAAACTTTGATCACCAAGACTACTAGTTATGCAAACAACTGCATCTTTTCTGTAACTTATCCCCCAGTCTTACCCAATCTCCATTTGTCTGTTTGTCCACCTACCGAGGTCCATCAAAAGTCTAGACTGTGGGCTCTCTGGCACTATCTTTTTTCTATTTGTTTGAAAGGTGCCTACCACAAAGGGGCCCTGATTTCTGACTGGAACCTCTATGCACTACCACAATAATAATTACAATACTACTACTAATAAACAAATAAATCCTGGATCAGATCCTCAGATGGAGCTATGCTGGTTTACATTAATTGTAAACCCTCAATTTCTATTTCTGCTTGATACGTTTAATAGTTTCTATTCATTTTTATCTAAATAAATCTTAGTAGTAGGTCACCTCCCAGTCTCGGCTGCCTGGACTTACTCAGCATACCTCAAAAGAGTTGTTTTATAATGGGGGGGGGGGAAGGGGCAAAAGAATGAGTGAATGTGAGCCTTCAGGTATAGAGTGGGAGCCTTTCTGGGATCAACATTTGCATTGGAAAGAAGCTTTCGGAAAAAGCAGATCTGTTTGGACCAGGCAAAAACATAACTAAGTTTGTTTCAAGCAGAAAGGAAAATCTGTAAAAGGAAAACCAGATAGCATCTGTTTATTAACCAGAAGATGAGGCAATCCCCAGATGCCAATGGAGACTGCAGATATTTGGACTTCTGGTTACAGTTATGAGACAGACGTGTGACCGACATACACACAGAACTGTGAGACAAAGAGAGCTTTAAGCTGGGTGAGGGGGAAAAAGGATGTTTCTGCCATGTGAGGTAACCCAGGCACTACTTTGTAATTAACTTTAGTTCCACTCTAGTATGGCTTCCGTAGCATTTGTCTAAGTAAGCTTATGTTTGTTGCTCTTTATTTTATTATTTTTTCCTCTATTTCTATAATGTTGCCTGCAAATATTTTTGCATTTGAGACAAAATGAACTCAGTTTGGAGTAACTGCATGGGGCAGGTGCAAGATAGCGTACTAAGAGAGGGCAACAGCTCAGTGAAAACAGTAGTTAACTTCCTACAAACAAGGTTATGGGCAGGAGTGCCGGAGGCTCCCTAGAAGTGTGTGTGTGTGGGGGCCCATATGTGTCGAACCATGGCTCCGCCTCTTCCCCCGAGGCCCCACCCTCGTTCACTCCTCTGCCCCGCCCTTGTTCACTCCTCTCTGCCCCCTCCTCCCATCACTTGCTCTTAGGCAGGTAAGAAGTGGGAGGACATAGCCCTCCTACCTCTAAAAGTGATGGGGCCATGACCCCTAGCCCCATCTCTTCCGGCACCCCGGGTCATGGGTACAGACAAGACTGGAGGCTTCCTTCCCAAACAGTGCCATAATAAGGTGAGGGCTGTTGTGGGCATGAAGAAAGCTAATTACCTTAAACAGTACCAGGCATTTCTCCAAAGACTTCTATTGTGGCTTAAAAAACACTTTAAAAAATGAGATTTTACATGAATGTAGTACAGGTGGTGAAAAAGCCAAGCTGACAGCCCTAGTCTCCCCATTGAATAGGCACAGGAAATGAAAGGACAAACTTCCCCACACTGCCCTGCCCTGAAGGGACCCCGCTAGAGGTTTGAAATGCTGATTTAGAGTATTGTTTGGTTCACTCTTTTGCCTCTCTATTGAGACCACTAACAAGGTGTCAGTACAGAATGTGAAGGTGGCTGTTTTGTGATGTTCTGATTGATGTTTAGAAAGCAAACAGATCATGGTTCCCAAGTGACTCAGCCCTTCCCCACCACAAAACAGCAACCCTTTGCAAGTACTGAAGAGGAAAAATCCACCCCCCTGAGCGGCGTAGTTAAACTACCCTAAGCCCCGTGTAGACAGCATTAGGTAGATGGAAGAATTCTTCCGTGGACCTAGCTACCACCTCTTGTAGGGTTACCATATTTCAACAAGCAAAAAAGAGGACGGGAGGAGCCCCGCCCTAGCCCCGCCCCTGCCCCTCCCACTTCCCGCCCCCCCAGAACCCCCAACCCTCCCCCCGTTCCTTGTCCCCTGACTGCCCCCTCCTGGGACCCCTGCCCCTAACTGCCCCCCGGGACTCCACTCCCTATCTAAGCCTCCTTGCCTCTTGTCCCCTGACTGCCCCAACCTGGGACCCCTGCCCCTAACTGCCCCCCGGGACTCCACTCCCTATCTAAGCCTCCTTGCCTCTTGTCCCCTGACTGCCCCAACCTGGGACCCCTGCCCCTAACTGCCCCCCGGGAC